CACCCCAGGGGCAGGCAGAGCTGAAGGACTGCAGGTCCCCAGCCTTCCACCCTCAGAGGCTACATCTTTTTCAACACCCACCTCTAGGGAGGGAACAGACTAGAATGCACATGCCCAGTGGGCACGCAGGCCTGTTTCCTTCTCCCAAACTTACCAGCAAGACAGGAGTGAGTGAAGGGGCAGGGGGTGGCCCAAAATGTGGGTGATCAGAGTATCCTCCATGGGACACTTGGCTAGGAATTGGAGGTTCTTTCCCTCACCTGCCTGTGACCAATCGGCGTAGGCTGCATTCATTCAGAGAGGGAGATCCAGGTGGGCTCCAGCTACTGGTAAGAGCTCTTGGCAGAGGCCCTCTGATCTGAGTGCTAAGAGTTGGGTGGGTTGGGGCCTATCCTGGGCTTTCTGCCCAGGATGTTATGGAAGAAAGACAATGATTTACATAGGATATAGTGGGGAGGCCAGTGGAGGGGCTGTGTTGCGCATAAGCAGATTTAAAACACAGACTTTACACTTTGTGCATTGAATAGGCCTACAGAGTTCAAATCCACGGGCCGGGCGTGGTGGCTCATACCTATAATCCCAGCACTTTGGAAGGCCGAGGTGGGTGGATCACCTGAGGTCAGGAGCTCAAGACCAGCCTGGCCAACATGGAAAAACCCTGTCTGTACTAAAAATACAAAAATTACCCAGGTATAGTGGTGAGTGCCTGTAATGCCAGTTACTCAGGAGGCTGAGGCAGGAGGATTGCTTGAACCTGGGAGGTGGAGGTTGCAGTGAGCCGAGATTGTGCCACTGCACTCCAGGCTGGGTGAAAGAGGGAGATTCCTTGTAAAAGAAAAAGAATCTAAATTTATGAATTCTGATTTTTTAATATTCATGTTGGTGGATGATGTTTGCGGCTGAAGTTCATGCTTCCTCATGTGGGAAAATGTGTTCTCATGCACTGACAGAGTGAAAAGTGTGCTGGGGGAAGGGAATGGGCTTTGGAGCCTGGTAGATGCTCACGGGAATCCGGGCTCCACCAGCTGCCAGCTGTGTGACCTTATTCAGGCGATTTAACCTTGCTGAACCTCTGCGTCTCCCCCGTTTATAAAATGAGAACAAAGACATGGATTGTCCAGGTTGAAAAAATTAAGTGAAACCAGGCTTGTGTGGCTGGGTCCAGTGGCTCACATCTATAATCCCAGCACTGTGGGAGGCCAAGGCGGGAGGACCGCTTGAGCCCAGGAGTTTGAGACCAGCCTGGGCAACATGGTGAAACCCTGTCTCTACTAAAAATACAAAAAAAAATTAGCCAGGTGTGGTGGCAAGCACCTGTAGTTCCAGCTACTCCGGAGGCTGATGTGGGAAAATTGCTTGAGCCCAGGAGGCGGAGGTTGCAGCGAGCCAAGACTGTGCAACTGCACTCCAGCCTGGGCAAGAGAGTAAGACCCTGTCTCAAAAACAAACAAACAAACAAAACACAGGCCTTGCAAGGTACCATTGCCATGCCTGTCCCCAAATTCCCTTTCACCTGTCTCCCTGCCCCTCGCTGCCCCTGACCCTGCTCCACCCCGAAGGGTTTTTATATCAGGTACAATCCTAACTCTGGTGGGGAGATTTCCATGACAGCTTTACTGTAAAAAATATATAAATCTTAGAAGTCAACCTACGTGTCATGTGGTTGTAGATTTTTTAAAAGGAAGGAGGAGAACAGGGCTCCTGGGAAGTTAGGATCTCCAGGAGTAACTAACGTTTATTACGAGGGAGGTCTCAGAGCTGATTCCCACAAGTGGCAGAGAAGAAAATGAGATGCACGCTCTGGATTTGCATAATCGCTGACTGTTTCCTGTTCATTTGCCACTTTGCAGGGGCTCAGTGTGGAGAGCAGCCCCTTCCTGGCCTGGACGCCCTCTGTGCCCAGGGCTCCACGGGGTCCCTCTTGGAATGGTTCTTTAATGATCACTCAAATGGCATTTAGCCTCCAATTAAGAGCAGGAAGAAAAGCACTGGCCAAGTGGAGCGAACGTTCTGGGGAATTCACCCACTTAGGAGAAACCTGGAGAATTAGCAGGCACACAAAGCCACCTCTTGACCAGAGGCAGATGCCTTGAAGGCTCCCAGACGCCCCACAGGCTGCAAAGGAAGTTGGCCACAGAGCTGACCTGTGTCTAGATTCGTACCAAGGACGCTCCACAAACTTGAGAGGCCCTGTCCACGGCAGGGGAGGAGAAGAGGTACAGGGGAGAGTCGGCCTTTGCAGACACGGTACTTCCTGCCTTCTGCTAGTTGCCATGGCTTTGTCCTCATAACAAGCCCATCACGAGCCCTGGCAAAGCTCATGGTGTGGCTCTGATAGAAACCAGCTGGCCCAGGTATTTGACGCCAGAGCCATGGTCTTCAGCATCTGCGCGGACGTCCTGCTCTGAGCAGAACCCACTGGAGGCATCTCCTCATCAATTACGCATGTCTGTTCGCCCTCTATCATTTGACTTGCCCTTGATTTCTTTCAGCCTGATGGATTCTTTACTCTGTGAGAAGCAAGCTGCGGCAAGAGGTCTAGAAAGCCAGCTCCAGTCTTCTGTCGACCCCCCCCGCCCCCCGCAAAAATGGCATTTGCCTGATACCTGGTGTCCCGGAACATGTGATTGTCACTCCAGCACATCTGTGGGGATGACGAGGTGGTAGAAGTGGCCCTTACTGGTGCCACTGACAAAGTATCAGACCAGGATCTTGTCCCAGAAATGCCTTCCTTATCGATTTATTTCTCACTGAACTATACTGCAATAAAATTCAGGAGTGGGCTCACTGTGGAAATGGAGCCTGTTTCACGGGGTGTAGCCCTGTGTATAAGGCAGCCTCAGACACCGCTAGGGTCTGAAATGAAATCAGAGCAGCCTGTCTTCATCTCTGCGACCTCCCCAGGTCCAGGCATTGTGAATATAAAGAAAGGAACTTGTGGGTTTTGAATGTCGTCTTACTAAGGATTCTGTTGAAAGAAGAACAATTAATCTCTTTATCATAACTGGCTTGGCCACATTTCAATGCTGGAAAGAGGAGAGAAAAAGCAACAGAACAAAACCTTTTGTATTTCTGCCAGCAGAAGGTAAGGGATAGGCTTGTCATTTCGTGGCCATATTTGGTTAAATGTCCCTTTACCTTTTAATTTGTGCATTCAGGTTTCAGATCTTCTGCGGCAAGAGGGAGAAATTGTCTCACATTGTCACACCTCGTTTGTCTGCCACAGGGTTGTGAAACTCACTTCAGCATCCGAGCTCAGCTCGGAAGTTTGCAGAGAAAGGATTTCAAGTCCAGTGACTCTGCTCTGGATGACTTACAACTTCAACATCACCTAGTTTTGTTCTTCTGCTCCCAAGTGTCCACAGGAAATTAATAGATACAGCGTGTGGGTTTTCTTCAGTGTTCACGGAGTGAACTCTGGCACGATGTGGGACACAAAACTATTCGCCACAGTCCATAGTTCTCAACACCTGTCTGTTCCTGCTTTCTCTATAGCGTCTCATTTCTGAGCAATGGCTGAGGAATGACAGCTGGCTACTGAAACTGGAAGGAAAGATTGGAACGTACTGGCAAGAACAAAGGAATTACAATCTAAGGACTGGGTTCAAGTCCCAGCTCTTCCACATGCTAGCCCTGTGACCTTGGGCAAATTAGTCAACCCTTCTGAGCTTTAGTTTTGTCCTCAGTAAAATGGCAACAGTAGCAACCACCTCCTAGAGTTTTATGGGGAAAAAAAGATACAAGTTATGGAGAGTGTGCGGTGAAGCGTTATGCAAACATTAGATGCTGTTTGTACTTTTATGACATGGAGGAGAGGCCAGGAATCAAAACTGTTGCTTTTTAGGAAAACATTTGGCAGAATCAATAGTTTGTTATGATAGTCCCCTGTCATGTGATGCCATGTGGAGGGGAATCGGGATTCCTCCTCTGAAATCAGGGACCTCTTCTGATGCCTTCTCACGGGAGCACCTTCTACATCTTGCGTATGGATTGAGAATTCATTTTCCAGATTGTCCAGTTTAATTGTTTGTATAACCTGTCACCACTATTTGCTTTCTGTTTAAGAAGATTGAAGGAAGGAAGAGAAGGGAGGGAGGAAGGAGAGAGGGAGGAGCAGGTTTAGTAAGCAGTGACCTAATTGCATGTGTGGCAGGCTGAATGCCAAGGCCACGCGCCCTGAGTGGCATTTTGCATCCACGCTGTTGCTCCAGCCACAGCACAGGTAGATGGAGTGGACTTCGCTGCCTCTGACTTTCTTTCTTTGTTTTCTCTCTCTCTTTCCTTCCCTCCTTCCTCCCTTCCCCCCTTCCTCCCTCTCTTCCTTCCTTCTGCTCTGTCACCCAGGCTGGAGTGTAATGGTGCCATTATACCTCACTGCAGCCTCGACCTCCTGAGCTTAAACAATCCTCCCACCTCAGCCTCCTGAGTAGCTGAGACTACAGGCACACGCCACCACACCCAACTAATATTTATTTCTTCATTTATTTATTTTATTTGTTTAGAGTTGGGGTATTGCCATGTTGCCCAGGCTGGTCTCCAATCTCCTGAGCTCAAGCAATCTTTCTACATCAGCCTCTGTGGTAACTGGGATTATAGGCACGTGGCACCGGGACCGGCTAATTTTTTTAATTTTTTTTTTAAGAGATGGGGGTTTCACTATGTTGCCCAGGCAGGTCTTTAACTCCTGGGCTCAAGCGATCCTCCCACCTCAGCCTCCCAAAGTGCTGGGATTACAGGCATGAGCCACCACAGTGGCCCCTCTTGACTTTAGCTTTGCGACTTGCTTTGGCCAATGGGATTGTGGCAGATGCTTGGATGAGCTTGAGGGGTTGAACGTGCGTTTTGACATCTCTGCTCTCACAATGCTTGTGCCTTCATTTTGGGGATGGGTTGAGCAGCAGTGAGAGGGATTAGAACCTCCAGAGACATGGGAATGCTGAGGACCTGTTTTGCCTTTCAGATAATGAAAAGACCTGGCTTTGCGTAGGTTACACTTCTGGGTCTGAAAAGCAGTCTTTCTTGAGCTGGGTCACTTGAATCCAGAAAAGAAAAATGAAAGAGAAAGTCTGAAAGTAAGAGAGAACTGGAGAAAGAGGAGAGAGAAGGGAAGAGAGAGAGAGGCAGACATGATCCCATGAGTTCACCTGAACCAGGAATGAATCCTGAGGCTAGCCGACACTTCCCTGGACAATGAAGGCAATTTTAAGAAGGGAGGGAGGATTCTCTTGGAGATTAACTTTGGGCTTTGGCCTAGTTGAGTCTCCGTAGACTTTAAATAAAAAGCCATGGGGGAGGGGTGCATGCAGGGCAGCCACGACCGGAGCTCGAGTTCCTATCACAGCCTGGCTGTGCCAAGGCCTGACATTTCTTATTTTGATAATTGATGTGGCCAAGTTGAAGCTTGTCACCGTGAGAGCATCGCGCCGTGGCTTTGGTAGTGCCATGGCTTTGTGAAGAGTGAGAAAAATCAATTTCCACTGTCCACAGAGCGTTGTTTGATTTATTACTGTTGGAAGAAGAAATTCTTTATCTCCCACCCCCTGTTGGCGAGGACTGTTTTACAGTCTGCTGTTAGGGAGGCTCTATAAAAGCAGCTATATCTGCGCAAATTTTGGTATTTTGATAACCTTCCTTGACTATTCAGAGGACATTGAACACTCCCAATTTTTATAACCCTCATTTGTTTTTGATTAAGCAATTATAGGCACTAAAAGACAATCTGCAAAAGAGTGTGGCCAGCGTACCTGCAGGATTTTTTCATGCCGTAGGAAGCCTCAGAGGGCTTTAATATTTCATGACCATGGGAAGGAGGAAGGAGGGGTTTGCTAGGAAAGAGAGCAGAGGATGCAATCTGGAGTCAGACTGGGATTGGGATCCCGGCTGCCATTGGAGAGCAGGTCAGTGCCCATGAGCTTCAGTTTCCTTGTCTGAACAATGAGTGTGTGTAGCAGACGATGCCCTCCAGACCCTCTTAGATCCCCTCAAGCCTTTTCCACCTCTCTTGCATGCCTCTGTGTGCCTCTGCTTTCAACGCCTGCACTGCGGCTCCTCCTCCAAGACTCTCCCTTGGCCTCTGGGTCTCCTAAAACTTAAGTACCTGGGAATTAATGCCCTCGCAGGGCAGCCCTCCTCCTGCGACTGACTCACATGTGAGTATGAAAGCAGAGCTCCCTTGCCTCACCTCAAGACACACCCCGAGGTGTAACTTACATTCCAGGTGGGTGTAACTTACACTCCAAGTTGGTTCAGGCTGAGGTTCCCCCAGGCACAACTTTGCCTGAAACCCACCCAAGATAGTAGACTGGTGCTCCTTGCCAAATTTTTTAGATTGTTTCATTAACTTTTATTCAGCACTTCAGTGTGCCAGGCATGGAATTAAATGATTGAAATGCATTTTCTCTTTTAAGGTTGTGATGATAAAATAAGGTCTAGGAAAGTGCTTTGCACAATGACTAACACACAGCAGCAACTCAGCACGCGCTGGCCAGTGTGAACATGATTGGGCTGCAATGTGGTGAGAGGAGTCGGAGCCATCCAGCAGCCTCCTCTCTGCTCTCCTTGGTCCCCTCCTCCCCTTTCCAAATTTTTCTCTACACAGTAGCCAGAGTAGTCTTTTAAAACAATTCAATCACACGCTTGTAATCCCAGCACTTTGGGAGGCCAAGGCAGGTGGATCACAAGGTCAGGAGATCGTGGCCAACCTGGTGAAGCCCCATCTCTACTAAAATACAAAAAATTAGCTGGGCATGGTGGCACGTGCCTTAGTCCCAGCTACTCAGGAGGCTGAGGCAGGGGAATCATTTGAGCCTGGGAGGTGGAGGTTGCAGTGAGCTGAGATCACACCACTGTACTCCAGCCTGGCAACAGAGCAAGACTCCATCTCAAAAAAAAAAAAAAAAAATCAATCAACTATATAAGACCCTCTAGTGGCTGCCTGATTGCACAGAGATATAAAATTCAGGCCAAGTGTGGTAGTTTATGCCTGTAATCCCAGCATTTGGGGAGGCCAAAGTGAGACAATTGCTTGAGCCCAGGAGTTTGAGCTGAGCCAGGACAATGTAGCAAGACATCATCTCTACAAATAAAATAAAACCCAGACTTCCTACCAATGGGGCTTAGCAAACTTTCTCTATAAAAGGGCAGATAGTAAATACATTACACTTGTGGATCTTACAGTCTTTTTAGCAGCTGAAGACCTCTGCCCTTCTAGCACTGAGGCAGCCATATACAATATGAAAACAAATGGACGTGGCTGTTTTCCAATAAAACTTTATTGATAAAGACAGGCAGTGGGCCAGATTTGGCCCACAGACTGTAATTTGGTGAATGCCAGTCTACAAAACAACTGAATGGGGTGGACCCTGCCACCCTCACCAGCCACCAGCCTCCTCCTGACCCACTCTTCTCCCCAGTCATTTACTTCTGCCACACTGGCCGGAGAACCCAGCACATTCCTGCACCAGGCTAGGTCTGTGCCTACTATTCCCTCTGTCTGGGTGTGGGAGTCTCTTCCTGGAGGCCGCTGCATTGCTGGCTCCTGCTTATCACTCAAGTGTCAGTTCAAATGCCAGATGCCACCTCTTCAAAGAGACATTCACAAGCCTGCAGATCTACTAGGTCCCCTCCCCCATGCCCCTCTGTTCTCTGTCACCTCAGTCGTTAATTTATTCCCCCAGTCACTTGTTTGGGTTCTGCCCCTCCCTTTGGAAAACAAGCTTCAACACTGATTCAGCATTGAATCAGCAGCACCCTCAGCCCATAGCACAGGGCGCAGCCCCTGGTAGGTGCAAAATAAATGTTCATTGATTCAATTATCTCTGGAGATCGTCCTGCCCCATCGACCCCCACCACTCTCTTCTGTAAGAAGAGTTTTTGAAGATGGAAAACATTAGAATTTCACGTGGTTATCTTGGTTGTAAAGCAAACCTATAAAACCCTAAATAATCTTCCTTTCTTCTCCTTCCCTCTCAATTATGCAGTTAAACGGAACATCTCACAGGGGGATTTGCCTGAGCAAACCCTCAATTTCTTTTCTCAGTTCCAAGCCTAAGACTGCAGACCTCCATTTTCAAGGCTAAAAACACCAAGAGGAAGGTGCTGTCTGAACGTGGCATTGAGATTACCCAGTTAATTAAAGAGGGATTTAGGAGTTACTTAACATCTGGGTGGCAGAGTGGTTTTTTTGGTTTTTTTTGGTTTTTTTTTTTTCTCTACTCGGCTTCAGAAAGGAAGCAGGAATCATAATATGCCAACTCCGGCTCCAGCAGGTGCATCCTCCGTGTGACTTGATCTTGCAGCAAGGCAACCTCTTCTTCCCTGGATTCCTTGGCTCTAAGGCATCTGATGCTTTTCGTAAGGACATTTGCTGATGCTTTGCCCAGCAAAGCAAGCTTTGTGTCCTCAGGATGACAGTGGTTGCAGAAGTGCTTTGGTAACCGTTCCTTTTGTTATGTCATACTTAAGGGCAGTGATTCTTTGTTTTTTGTTTGTTTTATTGTTTTTTTTTTTTTGTCTTTTGTGGTTGTTTTGTTTTGTTTTGTTTTGAGATAGAGTCTCTCTCTGTCACCCAGGCTGAAGTGCTGTGGCGCAATCTCCGCTTACTGCAACTTCCACCTCTTGGGTTCAAGTGATTCTCCTGCCACAGCCTCTTGAATAGCTGGAACTACAGGTTCATGACACTATGCCCAACTAACTTTTTGTGTTTTTAATAGAGACAGGATTTTACCATGTTAGCCAAGGTGGTCTCGATCTCCTGACCTTGTGATCCACCCTCCTCACCCTCCCAAAATGCTGGGGTTACATGCGTGAGCCACCATGCCTGGCAGAGGGCCGTGATTCTTGAACAGCAGACATTGCCAGAGGGCCAAGGGACTTCAAGAGGTGGTCAGAGACATGGCCGCCATTTGATGGGGAAGGGTCTTGCATGCCATGCCAAGGAATGTGAGCCGTATTCTGGCCAGGGAGTGTTGGAGACTTTGACCCCAGGGATGACGTTTGGCAGTAGCCATGAAGGAGGAAGGTAGTGGCCAGGAGCCCAAGCTGGAGCTTGTTCTAGGGCTTCAGAGAGCAGAAGATGGGAGGTTCCTGGCAGGGTGGCATCAAGAAAGAAGAAGAGATGCTAAGTTCAGGGGCCATAGGCCAGGTGGAGCAGGTCTTGGCCTTAGCACTGGGAACTTGGACTTTATTCAGCACTGATGGCAATAATAATAAAAATAATACCTACTTCTGTGGGTTATTAAGATAGAAGGTGCCTTTGGTTAACTTATTTGTAACAAGCCTTTCGTGAACTTTCAAACACTCATCCGGTGACATTTCTGTAACGCTTCCTTTAGATAAAGCCATTCATAACTTGGCAGTCCGTGAGCTTTCAATGGCCTTTCTCCCCACCCCGATGAGACACTGGATCTTGGTCTTAGGACACCTGTTGAGTAGCTCTAATAAGCAAAGTGATAGGTATTGTGTGGCCAATACAGAAGTCATACCAATAGCCAACAGCAGGCAGGGGCTGCCGTTAGGAATGGGAGAGGCTTGTTCTGCAGGCTGAAGGCAGGACCCCTGGGAATGACAGCAGTGGTACCACACAGAAACTCATTGAAGAGCTGTTTCCATCTCAGGCAAGCCCAGAGACCTGAGACGAGTCCCTCTTTCATTGTGTGTATGGCTGTGGTTGCAGGCATCCCACTTTGGCTGATGGATTCGAATGTTCTCCAGGATCCCACTCACCTGTGTTCTTGAGCAGCAAGGACTCCTGCAGATAAAACAAGCATCTAAATCAATGCCCCCCACTAACATTTGGACCTGGCCACACCGTAGGGGAGAACAGAATTAGAGCCTTGCATTGCTGCTCCCACCTCCCCTCAGAGTTTCATGCGAAGGCATTGTTCTTCTGGGGCCAGATTTCAATTGTAGTGAGCACAGAATGATGCTTTAATCCTCTGTAATTACTCAAGGCAGGAATCGGCCTAATGAACAAGTATAAATGGACAACTGGCCTTTTCCTTCGGAGTAGGGATGGATTTGCTTCAATTATGATCCTTTGCCTAAGGGGAGATGGGATGCAGATATTGATACTTGTTTTATTTTATTTTTATTTGAGATGGAGTCTTGCTCTGTTGCCCAGGCTGGAGTGCAGTGGTGTGATCTCAGCTTCCTGCAACCTCCGCCTCCTGGTTCAAACGATTCCCCTGCCTCAGCCTCCCGAGTAGCTGGGATTACAGGTGTGCGCCACCAAACCTGGCTAATTTTTGTATTTTAGTAGAAAGGGTTTCAACATGTTGGCCAGGATGATCTCCAACTCCTGACCTCAAGTGATCCACCTGCCTTGGCCTCCCAAAGCGCTGGGATTACAGACGTGAGCCACTGTGCTGGCCTGATACTTGTTTTAAATTAATATACTTGTTTACCTTTTTGTGGGTCAAATATATCACAAGAAGTCACCAAGTGATGGCTTTCATTTACAATTTGGTAGGTGGGCCTCCTGGGAAAGAGTGGGGGGGATCTGTGGGGGGAGGGTAGGAATCCACATTCCCGGGCACTAAGGTCTGGGGCCTTGGGCTTTTGTATTGCGGTCCTCTCTGCTTTGGGCAACCTCCCTTCAGAGGCCCCCAAATCCTTCTTTCTTCAGGTCTGGCTCAAAAGTCCCCTTCCCAATAAGCCTACTCCCGATCACCCTATTTAAAATTACAAACCACCTCCCTCCACCCCACACACACACCCCCACAGTGTGGGTCTTCCTTCCCTGTTCCTTCTTGTCCTAGCCTTCTAACAGAATATACAATTTCCTGATTTATTCATCATATGCTTTGTTATTCCCCGTCCCCCCTCCCAATAGAACGTAAGCTTTGTAACAACTCTTTATAACAGGTAGATATGGTGGCCTGTTTTGTTGACTGTTGTATGTTAAATGCCTGGAGCTCATAACAGGCACTTAGTAAACCTTAGCGGAACAAATGGATGAAGAAATGAAGAGTTGGAGGGAAGGAATTGAGTGCAGGACAGGAAGGCTGTGAGAAACGTGTCACCATCCTTTTGGACAGTCACACCGAGAGACCAGATCTGGACTTGCTGTGGTAGCAGGTTGGGTGGAGAAATGGGCAGAGGCTCGAGGGAAGGATTCCAGTTCCATGCGTGCCTATTCTGTGCCAGTAGAACCCTGGCTGCTTTCTCTGGGTTATGGTCTCAGTCCCCACAGCAGTGCTGCGTACTGGGTGTCATTGTTCTCATTTTATAGGTAAGGAAATAAGATTCAGAGAAGCCGCACACTGCCAGGGGCTACTGTGAGTAGCAGAACCAGGCTTGGAACCCAGTTTTCTAAATTGGCTCATCTGTTCTTTAAGTATAAGTTTGACTTCTTCCTCCAGGCTCCAAGACAAGTGGCTCTCTCTCCGTGAAGGCAGGCTCATCAGCCACAGCACTGTGGCTATTTGGGGCTGGATCATTCTTGGTTGGGAGGGGCTGCCCTGTTCACGGTAGGGTCCTCAACAGCAACCCTGGTCTCTACCCACCCGATGCCAGCAGCATCCCCCCCACAGTACGACAACCAAAAACCTCTCCAGACATTGCCAACTACCTCCTTGGGGACAAGGTCACCCTCAGTTGCAGAATACTGCTATAGATGCAATAGAAGCAGTTCTCATTGGCTCTGAGAACCTTCAGAGAAGTAAGAAAGAGTTGTTGTTAGGGTCATCAGCGGGCCCGGCAACCAGAGCCTCTTGGGTTGTCTCACCCTGGGGAAGGTATGGGCCAGTCTGGGGGTATGGCTCTAGTCTTCCAGATCTAGAGCTTACTGGCCCCTCGGAGGTGGGGTTTCACTTGAGCTGTGTTAGTGTGGACTGTCTGTGTGCAGCAGATGGACTGGGAGAAATGCCTGCAAAAGACTCCGGAGAGGCAAGGAGAGCCTTAAGACTGGGATGCAGGGCTGGCGCCTGAGAATGGAGAAGGGGAAGTGAGGAGTGTTGGTAGAAAGAGCTCCAAATCTGGGCACAGCTCAGAGGAAGCCTCAGCCAGGCGGATGGGGAGTCCTCAGGCCAAAGACACCTGTCAGAGGAATGGGTTGCACTGATGATTTTTGATAGGAACGACCCAGGAGAACTGTGGTTTTGGTGGAATACGGGAGTGGCCGCAGAAAGGAGGCAGCTGAGCTGGCGGTCCACTGTGCTTGGGCAGCAGGCGATCTGAGTGGCCCGCTGATGACACTCACACCAGAGGCCCGTCTGTGCTGAAGCAAATCAGTGCCAGCACTGGTGGCCATTGGCATCGGTCGAAGGGTGTGTCTGTGTGGTCTCAGCCAGGTGCCCACAGAAGCCAACCTTGAGATGAGGATTCAAGGGCACATGCATGCTTTGAGGAGGTTACGTCCATGAAACTCCAGTAGGTGAATAGGATAGTGAGAAAGGAGAAGAAAACAGACAGTGAAGGGGCATATGAGAGCGAGCTGCCACCGTGGGCAACTGGAGCCAGTCCTGTGGGAGCTCCAGAAACTACAGGGCATGGGCATATCTGGAGGTTTTCCAGCTGAGGGGCAAGGGAGCTGCAGTCTTCACCAGCCATCTCCTAGTCGCAGCTCCCGGGCTGCCTGAGTGGCTGTGGATGCAGCCAGTGGGAAGCCAGCCCCCCATGGCACCATAATCGTAAGACCATTTGGCATCCCACATGCCCTGAGCACTGACCAAGCTGCCCCAGAGGCTGGGAAAAGCCTCAGGCAGAGCCACCAATGTTTGCAAAAGGCAGAGCTCAGTGCCTGGAAGCCAGGGAGGAGATGCTGGCTGGTACCCTGCAGGAAGAGAAAAGAAAGAAAGATATGGTAATCCTAGTATATTATAGAGCACATAATAAAAACATATTGCCTAGTGCCCTGGATCACAGAGAGAGGCCTTGGGGAGCTGGCTTGGTTCTGCATGTTAACTGAGCATCTAGTATACACTGGGCAGTGTGTGGGAAGACAAAGATGCTGAGGGCCAGTCCTCCCCCTGTTGGAGCTCACAGTCCAGTGACAAGTGCAAACATTTATCCCATGACGGGAGGCAGTGTGGTGCACTGTTGCCACTAACCACTCTGAACTTCAGACTCTTCATCATAAACTAGAGATACCTCTGGTTCCTCTTAGAATCATTGGGAGGACTCTAGGAGATCCCTCTAGAATCACCGGGAGAATGCATGGGAGATCCTCAAGTGCTTCTCTCATGCGTTCACATATAGTAAACATTCAGTGTGCTTCAGCCATCGTTCAAGCTGTTGGAACTGCAGCAGAGAAATATACATGGTCTAGGGGAAAATAAGGGCCGGAGGGACTAAATCAATGGCGGGGAGTGGGAGGAGATGGATGTCAGAGAAGGCTTCTCGGAAGATCTCTGCCTCGGTGCAGAGAAGGAATTATAGATCCCGATCAGCAGCAAATGGGTACATGTTCTGTGTTTTCCTTTGGATTTTACAGACAGTGGTGATTGCGGTTGGTTAATGGTTAAACATCCTGTAAGCATTTCTACTGGGCCAGTTACCGTGGGGAAGGTTAGGATTAAGGAGAACTTTAGAGCGATTTGCCTAACAATAGCAGCCTTCTTATCTCCCCACCTTTGAAAATTCCCACCATTTATTGGAGCCTGTTCGGTTTTTCACCTGAGCTGAAGGCTGGGAGTGGGAGGGCCTCTCGAGCAAATCCACAGCTGCGGAACAATAGGCCAGGACAGCTTTATCTGTAAGGCCAATACCAAGAGAACCAGAGAAGCCGAAAAGAGATAGCTTTGAATCCCACAAGGCAAGAGAGCACTGAGCCTTTATTTCCCAGGGGATTTTATTTAGCTGATTGGCAGAGTCTGGAGACTGGGTGCTTACCCCTGGAAGAACTCAATAAAGTATTTTGACCCAGTGCAAAGCCAAAATACCATCCTAGGTCAAAGAGCTGGACTTGGAAGCCTGTCCCTCCTGGGAAGCCAACTTGGAAGAGTATCTTCGAGCAGCCAGACACCATAGGAAAATATTTCTGTAGATGAATCTGCTGTGGGTGAGTGTCCTATCCACGGGCCTTTCTTCGTTTGGTCCCTGTGGCCTGCAGCTGTCGGGGAGCTCAGTGGACATGGGATGACAGGAGCAGGCACCATTGGACTGACATTGAAAACGCTTTAACAATTGATGTCTGAGGGTGACCCCCTGAAAAGATGACCGTGAGCTGCCAGAATGTGGAACCACAGTACTGGAGTGATAGCCCAGGGGAAAATAAATGCCATTTTCATTCCAGAGAATATTACTGAGGTGCCTGCAAAGTTCAATTTTTCTTTCCAAGCCTTTTATTCAACCTAAGGGCCAGGTTCAGGCACAGAAGGACCAGCTATGAGCTTTAGCTTCGATTTGGTCTTAATGCAAGTATATGTCACCATCGAGATTTATGTATTTTGTAATGACCGGAGAACTACAATGAGAAAGTCCAAGATCAGCCCTTGTTAATGGTACGAATTTCTTCATCTGAGCGTTTTTGTAAGACACATAGATTCCTATTATAATGAGAATAAAACAATAAACATGGAAACATATCTGGGAAAGAGGACTCTATGACTATTTCGAGACTACAGCTATTTGCTATAAATGAATTCGTGAAAATACGAATAAGCCTCGGCTTTGTGGGGTACTTCTCGCGAGCCAGGCACCTCAGGTACCAGATCAATGTAATTTTGTAACAACTCCGTGATGTTGTCTGGGAAGGTGGAATCACCTTCATTTGATGCATGTGGAAACGGAGGCTTGGAGGTTTAAGTATCAAGGTCTTGTGGTCAAGTCAATGCCGCCTTAGGAAGTGTTGCCTAAGACTGGATCCCTGCAGTAAAATGCAAGACAAATGAGATTCAGACAGACCTAAGATTTCAAATGGTCTCCACTTCCACTCTCTGAGGTCTCCCCGCCCTCCCTATTTTTCTTGTGACCCTCCCTGGAGGGAGGGCACAGTGTGAGCATTCCCTATTAGCTCCTGGAGAACAACAGCAGTTTCTTATTGACCTGTCAATCATCCTAGAACGCACAGAATACCAACTCCCATGCCCATGGAAACCTGGCAGGTAACGCAGGCCAGTGAGGCCGATTATACGTAATGACTCAAAAGAGAGAGCTTGCCTCATCCAAAGTAAGCGGTTTCCACCCACTTCCAGCCAGTTGCAGTCCTGTGTGGCCAAATGGTCTGCTTTTCAAGGGAAGCTGGAGAGTCGCGCCGTGTGAAACATCCTCATTTTTTAATCATCGGAAATTCAGAATTTTAAGAAGTACCACTACGTTGGGTTGAATTTAGCCAATGTGCAGCTACCGCTTCCTTAGAGCCTTGCAGAATTCTTCACAGCTAGTTGACTTTCCATAAAAGCTTTTGAGTTAATGAGTGAATTAATTACTAAGCAAAGAGCCCATTTGAAGGCTCAGCCCTTTAGACCCCCCTTTGCTGCCCATTCACGGTGGTTTGCGCCAGGCATGTCACTGCCAGCAACAGGAAGCAGAGCACCTTTGAGTCTGACTCTTCATCAGTCTGTCACTCTGATAAGCTTGGCATGCTAAGTTGCTTTGGATTTTTGCTTGGGCTAAGATCATCAATGTCACCCCCATCTGAATTGTAGAACCACATTATTGGCTTGAGGAGGTTTGGAAAGTCCCCTGAGTGTAGGGAACTATACCTTGGTCAGATTTTTACTCTTCCAGGTCTTTTCTTTTTTTTTTTTTTTTTTTTTTGAGATGGAGCCTTGCTGTGTCACCCAGGCTAGAGTGCAGTGGCTTAATCTTGGCTCACTGCCACCTCTGCCTCCTGGGTTTAAGTCATTCTCATGCCTCAGCCTCCTGAGTATCTCAGATTACAGGTGCCCATCACTATGCCCGGCTAATTTTTGTATTTTTAGTAGAGATGGGGTTTCACTATGTTGGCCAGGCTAGTTTCAAACTCCTGACCTCAGGTGATTCACCCGCCTCGTCCTCCCAAAGTCCTGGGATTACAGGCGTGAGCCACGGCGCCCGACCCACCCATAGAGGTCTTACCAATAGTGGGCTCTTAATTAGTGTCTAAGTGAGTGCGGGAAACAAAAACTAGTCCTTCATTTGTTCCTTTACTCAGCAAACATGGATTGACCATTCTCTGTGTGCTGGCAATGGGATTCCAGTGATGAATTACAGACCTTTTCCTTGGTTACAATATGATGGGATAGGTAGACATGGAAGAAGTAACTGGGTGCACTGGGTCTGGGACCGTGCTATGGGATCATAATTGTAGGCGCGTAACTCAGCTTAGAGATCCGGGACAGCCCCTCTGAGCAGGTGATGTGTAAACAGAACCCTGGAGGTTGAGCAGGAATAAAGCCAAGTGAACAATGGGAGCCGGATGTGCAAAGGTCCTGATGTAGAGCGAACCAGGACCTCAGAGAAAGGTCCAGGGTGGCTGGAGCCAAGAAATCATGGGAAAGAGTAGGTGGGCAAAGCTAGAGAGACAGCCCGGGTCCAGATCACCCTGCAGTTGCCCATGGTGAAAGTTTGGACTTCAGCCTAAGGAGAAGAGAAAGCCACAGAAGGTTTTAAACAGGCATGGTGCCTGATGATTTGCATCCTAAAAGATCTCTCTCGCTAAAGTGTGGAGAACTGATAGGACCGTCAAGAGTCGATGGGGGATCTAGTTTGGAAGCTAATGTCTGTATCCAGGTAAGAAGTCGGATGGTGGCTTGGACCAGGATGACGCGATAGAGATGGGATAATGGATACTCGGCAGGTAGGATCGGTATTGCTTGGTTGTTGATTGACTATGGGGAATAAGGGAAAGGAAGGTGGCAGTTTTGAGAAGGTGTAAGGAGGTGGTACTATTTGCTAAGATAAGGAACACGACTGGTTCTGTAGCTGTACGATTCTTTGAGCCATCAGTTAGACTATGGTGTGAATGTCTTCCCTGGAGCGATACACCACAGCCGCTCTGGGAGGAAGAGTGGGAGTGGGATTGGGGGCTGGAGAAACGAACTGAGTTTGGAGTTTAACAAAGAAACTAGTAAATATCTCCAAAGTCCCAGTTGTCGTTCTTCATAGCCATCAGACAAAAAGTGGTCAAAGTTAGGAAACTGAATTTTCAAAGGAATGAGGACTTAAAAAGAACCAGGCCTCTGATGTTGAGAGAGAAACATACATTTTCAATTGTTCAGAGATTACCAAATGGAAACAGTTCCTCTCCCAAACAGAAGCGGGAATTAACTTTGAGGCTGGAAAATGTTAATTGACGGAGAAAGGAGAGTCAGGGGCCCAGGGAGCCATCGAGGCCACGTGCCCCAGCTCCTCATCCCACAGGTGTGCCCATGTCCAGATGAGCTCACGATGACTGGAGCTGCCCAAATTCGGGGCACCCACCCGTGTGATCTTACCCTTCCCGCCATCCCCAATGTGGGAAGAGGGTGCGAGGTGAGCGGGAATCCCGTCCAGAATGATTCGCTGTGATCATTGCCATATGAACAATAATGCTGTTACAGAGAAGGAGGGCCCCGAGGAAGAAAGAATTTTTTTAAATGCCTGATAAAGAGGTAGTCGGGCTGCCCCTAACCCCTGTTAAAGAATGTTCCAAGGAGAGATGAGATCAAGGATATAAAATTGTTCTGGTCTAGAAGACAAAGAAGCCAGGAAAGCAGGCAGCATCTCTGAGATGCAGGAGACTCCGGAGGCAGAGAAAGAAGGAATTGCTGTTCTTTCTAAGATGACAAAAATATTTAATCTGGCGGAGGATGGAAGACCTTGATCGGGTCCTTACGGGTCTATATCAGACTTACTCTGAGTCTTTGAGTATTTCCCTTCTCATCTTGCATCTGGCATTTTTCTCAATGAGGGAGTCCCTTTTGGTTGGGGAACGAGAGTCTAGGATGGGTCCGGGAACGTGGCTCACACCTGTAATCCCAACACTTTGGGAGGCCAAGGCAGGAGGATCACTTGAGCCCGGGAGTTTGAGACCAGCCTGGGCAACATAGTAAGACCCCTGTCTCTACAGAAAATTTAAAAATTAGCCAGGTGTGGTGGCATGCACCTGTGGTCCCAGCTACTCAAGAGGCTGAGGTGGGAGGATCCCTTGAGCCCAAGAGTTTGAGACTGCAATGGCCTATGACTGCATCATGGCACTCCAGTCTGGGTGACAGAGCGAGACCCTGCACCACCACCCCTGCCCCGACCACCTAAGACGTTTAAAAAGATTGAAAAAAAAAAAAAAAAAAGGCCCCTCCTCTGGATGCCAAGTGGAGGAACCAGCCTGTGATGCATGTTTGTTGATTGAGCAATGACAGAGGACCACAGCGGCCTTGACCTGCCAGGTCACCTCCTCTGCTCACAGAGACACAGGTGGCTCCTGATTTAGACAATATTTGAAGCTCTGAAAAGCCTTTGTTGCATTTCCACGAGTGTTTAGAGTGGGCTTGAGACCCTTCCTCAAGGTCCACTGTTTCTCTTTTTTTTTTTTTTTTTTTAGGGGGAGTTTCACTCTTGTTACCCAGGCTGGAGTGCAATGGCACGGTCTCGGCTCACCGCAACCTCCGCATCCTGGGTTCAGGCAATTCTCCTGCCTCAGCCTCCCGAGTAGCTGGGATTACAGGCACGCGCCACCATGCCATGTGTTATTAGTAGAGTTGGGGTTTCACCATGTTGACCAGGATGGTCTCAATCTTGGTCTCTTGACCTCGTGATCCACCCGCCTCAGCCTCCCCAAGTTCTGGGATTACAGGTGTGAGCCACCGCGCCCGGCCCAAGGTCTGCTGTTTCTAACCATGGATTGATCTGAAGAGCACCAAGGCCTAGTTCTGAAGGCTGCATTCCTCAACACAGACTTTCCTCTACCAAGAAAGGAAATTCACAAGCTGTGAATTTCCCCCCAGAATTTCCACTGGGCACACTGCATTGGCCTTCTGTGCGCTTAGGTTTGCCATGCCGGGGGTTTGAGGGTCTCAGGCAGCGTCTACACAGTTGAGTCGTCTCTCTGCCATGCTTCCCCATCAGCCAGGAGGATGGTGTGAATGTCCACAGGCGGCCCCTTCATGGGATCTCAGGAAATGGGCTTTTGAGGGTCAGGTGGGTGGCCCCGGTCCCCCACAAAGGTAGCATCTGATGGAGAGACATGTTTGTCCTCTCCTGCATGTGGAAGAAGCTTGGAGAGATCAGCTGTGCCCTGCCTGGGTCTCCTTTTGGAGCCGTCCACAGACCTCCTCAGGACAAAGATGTCCCCAACGCTTCTGGAAGAGATCTGACACTGAGATCCCGCCAGTCATGGGGTGGGCTACAGTGGACTGTGGCACACAGTGGTGGCCTGGCGTATGAGAGCACCCCCCATCCCATACACCTCCCGCCTCACCTGCCCACGATGTCATTGCTTCAGATGACTTTCAACAAAGTCCTACACTCCATGGGGTCTCCCTTCTTGTACCATGTTCAACTCTGCATCGAGTCAACTCAGCATTCAGATGTAAAACATAAACGCTCCCGAGGGAGGAAGGCCCATTCCAGAGTGGTCACTGGGAGACAAAAAGGCCTGGCCTCCGCGAACCTCAGCTTCCTCACCTGAGACAGTAGAAAAGATGATGTTGACCTTCCAGAGCCGTAGGGAAGCGAGGCCAGGTACCCAGCATCCAGTTCTCCTTCTCCCTCTTCTAAAACGCTGCAGTCACCATAGCTGGCACCTCCATGCAGCCAAGTTTCCCGCTGGCATCACTTAGCCTGGCAGTGCGGCTAATGAGGCCTCTGTGGCCTGGGCTTCTGGGGCTGCCATCTCTAATGAACTCAGCCTTCCTGGGAGCTATGGCCTGTTCTCCTCCCCTCCAAAGAAAACACCGTCTTTCCAGGACTGATGGTGCTGAGGGAAGCTTGAAGGAAACAGACAGGGAAGACCTGTCAACACTAATTAGAAAAACGTGGTTCTCGCCGCCAACGCCCTCCAGCCCATTGCTGCTGCCAGCCAGGGCGTCCTTGAGGGCTGTTCACCTGAGCTGCCACCATTTTCAACTTTGCGTTAAGCCAACCAAGGATCCTGGAGACCCAGCGCTAGCAAGACCCCACGTGCTTTCTATTCCGGCCCTGACAGCTCTTACCTCTTCCCTAAGCCTCGGCTTTCCTTTCTCTTCTCTTTGTACCCCTGTGTCCCCAAAAGGCAGTTTGGGGGTGAAGCTGTGAGAGCCTGACGGGAAGTAGAACCCAGCTCTGTGGTCCCAGGTTAGTGGACTTGGCAGCGTGGCCTCTGTGGGTCTCACTTCTTTTCTCTGTAAAATGGGATCATAATGCCAACCCCTCAGGTTCGTTAGGGGGATTAGAAAGCCCCTTTCCCAGTGCCCCAAACATACAGAAACTCAGTGAACAAATGGTTCTCCGCCCATCTCCTTCCTGTCCCCATCTCACACCCACACTCACCCTCACAATGCTTACTTTTTCTGTTTCTTGGTTCTTGAACAAGTTTTTTGTTTGTTTGTTTGTTTGTTTGTTTGAGACAGGGTCTCGCTGTCACCCAGGCTGGGGTGCAGTGGCACAATGACAGCTCTGCAACCTCCACCTCCTGGGCTCAAGCCATCCTCCCATCTCGGCCTCCCAAGTAGTTAGGACTACAGGCATGCATCACCACACTTAGCTAATTTTAACATTTAAAAATTTTTTAGAAGAGATAAGTTCTCACTATGCTGCCCAGGCTGGTCTTGAACTCCTGACCTCAAGTAATCTTCCTACCTGGGCCTCCCAAAGTGCTGGGACAGCAGGCATGCGTCACGATGCCCAGCCTTGAA